TCAAAATAATTAATATGCCAAAACAGCATATTTTGGAGTGATATGTCCTGAACTTCTTCAGTTACTATAGACATTTGTATACAAATCTCATATAGAAATATGCTGTCATTTTTCTTGGGTAAATACACGGAGTTGAATTGCTAAATGTTATTTTAAAAGCAGATAATTTTTAAGACACTGATACTTATAACAAATTGCTTTCAAATATTTATGCCATTTTACTTTTCTACCAACAGTGTATGAAAGTTACTGTTCCTCTGTGTGTGTATATATATGGATATGTGTGTGTGTGTGTGTGTGTGTGTATTTATAGATGTTATCTTACACACATTATAGGATACAGAATGTTATCCCATTAAGGCTTTAAATTGAATTGCATTGATGAATAAGGATGCTGAACAACTTTTGATCTGCATATCTGCCATCTTTATATGTTATTTGGTAAAGAGATTATTCAAGAGTTTTGTCCGTCCTTTATTAAGATTATCAAGCTGTGAGAACTCTCCATATATTGTGGAACTAGCCCTTTATGAGATGCATTACTGGAAAATATTGTCTCCCAGAATATATGTTTGTTTTACTCTTAAGAGTAACAGTATCTCTTCGGAGTATCTTTTAAAAGTAAAAGATTTAATTTTGATATTATCCAATGTATCAAATTTTTATTTTATCTGTTTTACCTCTAGTATTGTATCTAAGAAATCTTTACACAACCTAAGGTCATGTATATTTTCTGTTATGTTTTCATCTGAAGTTTTTAGACTTTTAGGTTTTACATTTACAACTGTGATCCATTTTCTGTGAATCTTTGTATGAATTATAGATCAATGTTCAGTATTTGCATATGCATATCTAATTAGTTCATACTGTTTGTTAAAAAGTCTTTTTCCCCCTCAAATGACCTTTTGTCTTCTGCTTTGTGGAGAATCCATTTTTCATATATACATGAGTCTACTTCTGGCCTATAAATATTGTTTCATTGATGTGAACCCTTTGATAACTGTAGCTTTGGAATAAAACTAGAAATCAGTGTTTGCCTTAGTGTTTGTATTACAACTTTGTCCCTTTTTTTTAAAGTTAATTCAGCTATATTAGATTTTTTGTGTTTCTTTATACATTTTAGTTTCAGTTCCCTAATTCCTACTAAAACATAATGCCTGCTTGGATTTTCGTTGGTGTTGCATTGAATTTATAGGTATATTTGAGGAAGTTTGGCATTTTAACAATATTGAATAGTCCAGCAAATGAACTTAGTATATCCTTCATTTATTCAGGTCTTCTATAACATCATTCAAAAACATTTCTTAATTTTTATTGTATAGGCTTTTCATATATTTTCAGACTTATTTTTAAATATTTTATCACTTTGATGCATTTGTAACAGGTATTTTAAAATTTCAGTTCTGATTTCTTACTGGCAGTGCATAGGAATAAAATTTCTTTATATAATGATCTTTCTTTTGAAACCGTATTAAATTTTCTTTTAAGTTTAACCATTTTTTCTGTAAATTCCATTAGATTGCTACCTGCACTATCTTGTCACCTACTAATAAACACAGTTTTACTTCCTCCTTTCCAAACTGGATACTTTCTATTACTTTTTTCTCTTGCCATATTGTGTTGTATATAACCTCCAGTACAATGTTGAATAGAATTAGAATGAAGATCCTACTTGCCCTGTTCCTAATTTTAGTGGAAATGTATTTGATTTCTTACTATGGTAGATCAGCTTAGTTGTAGGTTTTCCATTGGTGCCCTTTATCAGTTTTACAAAGTCTCATTTAATACCTGTTTGGTCAAAATTTTTATAACTGATGGATATTGAAAATTTAAAATGTTTTGTCTGCTGCATTTATTAAGATCTGAAAAAATTTTCCCTTTTTAGGTTCTTGATATGATGATTTAATTTTGAATATTAAATTAACTGTACATTTCTCGGGTAAACCTAACATGGTGCATTATTGTTTTTACATATTACTGCATTAAATTTGCTAAAATTTTAATTAGAATTGTTGTATAAATGGTCATGACTGATATTGCTCTTTTGTTTTCTTTTCTTATAATGCCTTTGTCTGCTTTTGGTATCAGGGGCAAGGTCTCCTCATAAAGTTGGGATATACACTTCCACTTCAGTTTTCTAGAAGAAAATGCAAAGAATTTGTTAATTGATATTCCCTAAATATTTAGTAGAGTTCCCCAGTCAAGTCACCTGGACAAATTTTGAATTAGCGAGGGTTATTTCTCATATGTATTTCCATATTGAGATCCTTTCCATCCTAGATTTTTATATTGTATTTCTGTGTCCATATACACGAAAATATATAGTGCACTCATTCTTAAGAAGCTAGCCTATAACGCAAAACTTTTCTTCATAGATATCTTTAGCATCTCTAAATTTTCTGTACTTGTCTTATTCTGTTTTATTAATATTTCTGAATCATTATTGCATAAAATATTAAATTCTTATATTCTTCATAATATCAATGAAAAATTGCAGTTATGTACCAATTCCTGATTTTTTCAGTTTTTGTGTTTTGTGGAAAAATATTAAACTTTAGGAAATACATGTGTACTCAATAATGAAATAAAGTCTAAATTTTAAAATGAATGAATTATATTATCAAAATTATGTAGAAAACACAGCAATTTTTTTTTTAGATATGGGGTATCGGAATATGTTGAGTTACAGTTTATTTTTTAAAATCCCGGTACTAAAGACTTATACCTTTTTGCATTAAAAAGTCATAATTATTCACTGAAGATAATATGTGGAAACCAAAAATATTAATTTAAACATTTCTGTAATCTCAACAGCCACAAATAACTAATGCAATATTTCAATGTGTCTCTGTCCAACATACGGTTTGGAAAAGCAAAACTATTTTCTTGGGGGTAGGACCCATGGTGTAGTTGTTAAGTTTGGCATGCTCCACTTTGGTGGCTCAAGTTTGTGGTCTCAGAACCTGGGCATGGACCTACACCATTCATCAGCCATGTGGTGGCAGCAACCCACATACAAAATAGAGGAAAATTGGCACAGATGTTAGCTCAGGGTGAATCTTCCTTAGCCAAAAAAAAAAAAGTAGTTTTTATATTTGCAAAGTTCATACAGATTTTCAGTACAATTTTTCTTAATAATTAAATTATCAACTATACAAACTTTTTAGTAATATTTATCCTTATATGAAAATATACATTTTTTATTCCAATGAATTATTTTCATTTAAATTTGACTGACTACACAGAAAATTTTATTCTATGATAGAGGACAAAGAAAATAGTCCAGTCTTTGTATCATGTAAATAAATTTCCGTGAATGTTGAAAATAGTAAAAATAAACAACAAATAAAGGAAATTAAGAAAGGTTAAGAGGAAGTTTGTCCAGAGGACATGACATATATATAAATTGCTACATATCTTACTACACTTTCGCCAGAAATATAGTATAGACAAAGTCATATGATTATCTCCTGTTTCTGTTGACAAGAGTGATTATCAAATTTATGTAGTCAGACAACAGATTCTACTAAAAATATATCACACTTATATGAACCAATATTGAAGAAAGTCACCCTATAAAAAAGTAACAAAACTAATTCAACATAGAGTAGACCTTTTATGCAAAGAAACAAAAACAATTAGAACATGAATTTTAAACAAGAAATATTCTAGGTTTTGAGAAAGATAAGGAAGCGTAACAATCCTATTAGACATAAAGAAGCAGTTGAGAATCAAGATCTCAAAATAGAAAACAAAAAATTAAAAATTGGAAGCTTCCATGGGAGTCTTCAAGCAATTTGTCTTTTTTCTCCAACTTTATTGAGATGTAATTGACACATAATATTGTGTAAGTTTAATGTGGGTGTGCAGTGTGTTGATTTGATACACTTATATACTGTAGTATGATTACAACTTAGCATTATCTAACATTTCCATCACTTCACATTCACCATTTTTTTTGTTGTGAGAACATTTGAGATTTACTCTCTTAGTAACTTTCAAGTATACAATTCAGTATTGTTAACTGTAATCAAGGACATTTATCTTAATTGGTATATCCACTGGTATGGAGAAATGGACTGATTAAGAAAAATAAGATGCTGCACTGATCTTATGAGTCACCAAATGGCTAAGTATGTTGAGTTAATTGATTATCTAGGGCTCACATATGAAAGCAACTGCACTGGGGCCGGCCCAGTGGCCGAGGGTTAAGTTCGCACGTTCTGATTGGTGGCCCAGGTTTTCCCCGCTTCAGATCCTGGGCGCGAACATGGCGCCGCTCATCAGGCCCCACTGAGGCGGCGTCCCACATACCACAGCCAGAGGCACTCACAGCTAAAATATACAACTATGTACAGAGGGGGTTCGGGAAGAAGAAGGAAGACAAAAGAAAACAAAAGATTAGCAACAATTGTTAGCTCAGGTGCCAAAAAAGAAAGGAAGCAACTGCACCGATGAGAAAAGAATAGGACAGTAAGATCACCACTTGGTGTGGGAGCATTTGAGCAAATTCATATGACTGATGACTTCAAATCATAGTACTACACTAAGCCTCTTTGAAACAACAATAACTTTGATTTTAATGCACACCATAGAAGAGTATGAAGCCTAAAACAGAAAGATGTGCTGACACGAACACACACACACACACATATGCTCTAACACATACATAGACACTGGGAAGTTTATTCTAATAGTTGAGAATAACGCAAGAGTCATTTTAATACACCATCTTTACCTACTATTCTACTTTGCTCTCACATAGCATACCGACTTTCTTTGTCTTGTCTTTTGTGTCCTAACTTATTCTACTGTACTATAAAATTCACTTAATCTTCATGCTTATATTTCATCTCTTGCTCTGAAAGAAGCAAAGATTTTTACTGTTCTGCTCACTAATGCATTTACAGCACTTATAAGTGTGACTGGCACATAGAGGATATTACCTAAATATACGATGACTTTTGCAAGGCTTAAAGTCTGAACCTAATTTATGGGAATCACATTGGACAGCAAACCTTAAGAGAAGATATTGCATATTTTTTCCACATCCTTTGTAAAGCAAATTTTACATCTTTGTTCCTCAAGCTATAGATCAAGGGATTCAACGTGGGGATAACAAGGGTGTAAAATACGGAAGCCACTTTATCAGTGTCAAAGGAATGACCAGACTTGGGCTGCACATACATAAATATCAAAGTCCCATAGAACACTGTGACCACTGTCAGGTGGGAAGCACAGGTAGAAAAAGCCTTGCGTCTACCCTCAGCAGAGTTCATCCTGAGAATGGCTATAAGGATGAGCAGGTAAGACACAAGAACTATCAGAAGGGAGAAAATCAAATTAAAAGCTGAGAAAATCAGAATAATCAATTCAATTACATGTGTGTTTGAGCAGAGCAAAGATAACAAAGGAAGACTGTCACAGTAGAAATGTCTGATGACATTATAACCACAGAAGTATAAACTAAAAATATTCACAGTGATTATAAGAGAAATAAGTGTGCTGTAGAGATATGGGACTGCCACCAGCACCTGACATAGCCTTTGGGACATGATGACTGTGTAGACCAGAGGGTCACAGATGGCCACACAGCGGTCATAGACCATTGCGGACAGAATAAAAAGTTCACTATCGATGAACATGATGAAAAAAGCCAGCTGCGTGGCACAAAAATAATAGGATATGGTATTTTGATCCACAACAAAGTTTACTAACATTTTGGGGACCACAGTTGTTGAATAACCAAAATCAGTAAACGCCAGATGTCTGAGGAAAAAGTACATGGGTGTTTGTAGCCTGGAGTCCATCTTGGTGAGAATGACCATGCCCAAGTTGCCCACGACTGAAACGATGTAGATGATGAGGAAGATCCCAAATAATGGATCCTGTAGCTCAGGACGATCTGTGATTCCTATAAGAATGAATTCTTTCAGCACGGTTATATTGTGTTTTTCCATCCAGGTTGATCAGAAAACCTATTCTAGATGCAGATATCAGCATAGTCAATAGCGTCCATATAGTAAAATCTGGTCGCTTTCTAGTATACAAAGCTGGTATAAATAAATAAATCCAAACTGATAGTTTAGGCTCTATTAAAATAATCTATGCCTGCAAATAAAATACACATTTAAAAATAGAAACCGAGATAGAGCTTGAGGTAGAGAGAGAGTTATAATTTTCCGTTGGTGAAGATTAGTCTCCAAAGAACAATTTATAATGTTTTGAGGCATTTTGGTTGTCACAACTGGAGATGGGTTATTACTGGCATCTAATGGTTAGAGTCCAGTGAGTCTGTTATTCATCCTATTATATTGAGGTAGCCCCCCCCCAACAAAGAGTTTTACAGTCCAAAATGTCAACAGTGCCAAGGGTGGCAAACCTTGATGCATGTATAGATATAGATGTAGATATAGATATAGATATAGATAGATATAAATGTAATAAAGAAAACCAAAACAAAAAAAATGATATAAACTGTAAGTGTTAGTTTTGGAGGTGATAAACTTTACTTTTGCCTTGCATATAGTGTCAATAACATTTACAAAATTAGAATCACATAACATGACATAATAAATACTCTAATTGCATAATAAAATTTTAAATTTCAAATTCTAATTATATGTGGAAATATTTAGCAGGCCCTGCTTTGAAGCGTATTCATCTGAAAGCATAAGGATGCCTGGAGATGGTACAGAATGAAATTAATATGTTCACCATTATTGGACGGAGGTGTAAAAATAAGAAAATTCTGACAGATTATTGTAGATTATTTTTCTTTACATAGGTAAACATGTCATGAAATATACGTGGGTTGATATAGTCACTGCTATCCTTAAATTTTTATTGTAAGCAAAGGAGTACTTGGGCAAATGTTGTAAGTTATCTTAATGTCTTTATTCACATCAGCAAAATAAACTGTTTCTTGTAGGGTTGTTGGGAAGATAAGTGAGAATTATAAATTTCAGTGAGTTTATGGTATCTGGAAATATCCTTCAGTGCCAAGTACATAGGATTGTTTGTGTGTTTGTTTTAATTTCTTACTGGAGACAGTGAGTTACCTGAAATGGATTATTTTTGTTATGTACATACAATTTCTTTTTGTGTGACTTTACTTCTTTGTCAGGGGTATGATGATGATTAGATGGAACAGTGTGTTATCCGGATAACTGTCCCCAGTGCCCCTTCACCATGACCCAAATCCATGACTACCACCTGACTATCAATGCTTTCTTCTTTGGGGTAATTTATCTTCCACCTTACTTAAGATATTTAATATATATTTGTCTTAAAACTAACATACTTCCAGAGCTCATGAAGCCCAGCAAGAGGCAGTGCCCCATTCCCAGAGGTTCAGCACTAAATTGGTGACTGAAGATCTAAGGTTTGGAATTTACCTTCTTGGAGAAGTGCTGTTGGCATAGCTGAGATGCCTAGGCAATGATTCCAGCCACTTCATCTATAGGCTGTGACAAGAAGCAAAGAGTCATGCCCCTTCTCCCTGGCTACTACAGATTTTGCTAATACCAAGGATGCCCTTTCTCTGGTGTTGGGCAAATCCTAGGATCTTACATCTTTCCCACATTAACTTGACCAACAGCTGTGAACTTGTTGGAGAAAAAATTCCAAGAAACTTTGGGGCGTTTAGATATCAAGTAGGTTTCACTTCGCAACTTTGTCGTAAAGAAGTACTTGTTCTTAAAGCCATTCCAATAAAATACTTTAAAGCAAATTTAAAATAAAAACTAATGTTTTTCCTCTTCCCCAGGCACATTTTTTGTTACAGCTGATGTGCTAAGTTGCTAAATATGCTAAATTGTTTGTGACACATATGTTATATTTTGAGATGGATGAACCTAGGATAGCACGAGGACATAAACAAATTGGGCAAAATGAGGTCACTGGAATTGGTTTTATATAATGAAGATTCACATACATTATCTTTGGATAAAGAGATTTTCTGCTTTAAAGAAAAAAGCCAGGTTTAAAATCGCTATATTACACATAGCATACTGGAAGAAAACATACTCAGGCTATAAATTCTGGAATGTTATTTTAAGTCTGTCTGCACATTAAGACCACAAAGAACTTCACTACACATTTAATTTAATGTGGACATGCATAAGTATAATGAAATAAAGATGTATGTGAGTATCTCTAATAAACCACTAAGTATAATACAGAGCAGGGTAGAATGAGGATGACAGGCTAAGGTAAAAGAATTAGTGTTTTAAAAATTGTGAGTATCAGTGTTTCCTTGAATAAATAAATAAGTAGAATTGATCCTGATTACAAGGCAAGAAGCAGTGTCAGCAGACGGAGTGAGCTCTAAGAAAGCAAATAAAAGATACAATCTTTATAACATTAAATGATAAAGATGTTTACAGGAAATCCACACTTTCTCACATAAATCATTGCTAATAAGTTTGTGAGCTGCTGATATCCTACCCTGTCCCCATGTACTTACCTTTCTTATGTGAGACATACTGAACTATTGTTAGGAAAAAATATTTTAAATCAACGGAATAAGAAGCAATGTAAATCTTGTTTAAGTGCAATGGTGAAAAGCTAAAGAAAACAAGTCACATTGGTAAGTGCTGACTTCCTGTAAGATGAGGAAGGATAGACCGGCTTTTTCTCACCAGCTTTAGAATTCTATGGAAAGCATCAAATTACCTTTTCATTGTTTACTATCTGTGTTATCAGATTATTATTTTCTAGAGGTATACTCTTTGAGAAAATTACATCAGCTTTCTGCCAGATCCCACTGAAACTGAACTTGCTGTTCATTGTACCATCACCGTAAGACAGGGTACTTGAAAGTCTCCTAACCTCCAAAAATTCCTTTTCACATCTCAGTGTAAGGTGGAAATTTCCTTTTCATTCATCAAGAGATCAGAAGAAAATCCAATTAAATGAATTAAATGTATATTAACTGTCACAATATTTTTGAGAAGGGAATAAGAAAAGCCTAGTGTCACTGAATGACTAAGGATTTTGAAGGATTTCAGACTAGAAACATAATACCTGCAGCTTCATAATTCTGCCATATCTATATTTTTTTCTATTCCCAGTTCTTTAATTAGGCTTTATTGTCTCTTAATTTTGACCTCTATTATTCATGTGATTAAGTATTTGCAAAAACATAAATATTACATAAGCAATATGGCATTAACATTTCAAATATGCTTAACTGTATTTGTGAAAATATTTTAACAATCAATCTGAAGAGAAAGGAGCACAGTCTTATTCTGTTCATGTATTGTCATAGCAGAATGTACGTGGAAGTGAATCAGAAATCCTAATATTTTGATGTGCTTTGCCATAGAATAAAGGTGTTCTTGCAGATTTCAAACAGACTATTTGGATATTGGTCAAATATGGCACCCTGTGAAATATTCTGTTTACCTGTCATGAAACCTCTGTTTTGGCTCCCACATGTGTTTCATAACATGGAATAGTGAGAGCAATTTATGAATCGTTTTTCACCATCTGAGACTCTCCCTGAGGAGAAGCCAAACAATTCACGATTGTCCCTGAAGTATTTGAAAGCTTAGCAGAATGCAAGGGGGCGGGGGATGTGTGTTTATTAATAGACTAGAACAATTCTTATTTACAAGTCGGTTAGATTTATTTGTTTGTGCGTTACATTTCTACCTTTTTATTCTTCATTAACCTTTTTTCCCCCCACTTTGATGATTAAACTTGTTTCCATGTTACTAGGCTTGGTACTCAATTGTTTGGTCAAACATCAATCTACACGTTGCTATGAAGATATTTTTTTAGATGTGATTAACATTTATATCAGTATATTTTGAGTAAGTTGAATTACCCTCCTTAATATGGGTGGGCCTCATCCAATCAGTTGAAAGCCTTAAAGAGCAAAAACTGAGATGCTCAAAAAAAAAAGGAATTGTGATTCCAGATTGAGTACAGAAATTCTACCTTAATTTCCCAACTTTGTACTCAAGACTGCAGTATCAATTCTTTCAGTGCCAGCTTGCCCACAGATTTCTGCCTTGTCAGCCCTGACAGTCAGGTGAACCAATTCCTTAAAATCTTCTATCTCTGTGTATATATATATACACACACATATATAAATATGTATGAATACATGTGTTTGTGTGTCTTCGTGTGTGTATTCTCCTTTTGGTTGTGTGAATCTGGAGTACACTTACTAAAACAACCATATAGGGAAATGGATTAGGATGTTTTCTCCAAACAATAATGTTTTTAGTATTCTTCTAGTTCTACAATGACCTCCTCAAATAGAGGACACAATGGAGATGTATTTAAACACTGTCCTGTTGCATTATTTAAAATATAAATGAACTAAACCAATAACATATTGTGTATAAAGGATGTTATTTGTTCCCTTCTCTCTCTCTTTTTTTTTTGATTGTTGTCATTTTCTTTTTTTACCTTCTTCTGGACCATTGGAAGAGGAGTCAGTTTCTCCAATTTCTCAGTCTCACTTTATAGTGAATCAACATCATCTGTCTGTTTAGGATATCTGTCCATTACATTTGCCATTATGGCATTTCAGTATTTCTTGTTTTTCCATCAAGTCCAATACCCATTCTAATTCTTCTTGTCCATCTTCAAACACGTCGTACTGTGTTTGATATATACCCATATGGTGAATATATTCTTCAAAAATGTAATATTTAGGTTACCTATGTTTTACTATTTTTCTGTACGTTGTATTGTGGAATTTAATTATTTGTGATGAATCCATGTTGTGACTTTTTTTTGCTTCTTTATTACAGTCAATAATATATAAAAAATGTCATGAGTCTATACTTTATTGATAGATATTTTGTTTGTCTGTAACCTCTGCTATCACCAACACTACGATGAACAGCTCCTGAAAAGATGGAGTTTGCCATGACATATTGTGGACAAATTCTCCTTGTGATACATATCAAATATCTGCCTCTGTGTGTGTGCTTGTGTGGAT